GTAGGGTAATATCTTGAGAGAAAGTGAATGCTATTCTCACAAATATTACGTCATGTGATAAATTTCACATGCGAATATTGTTTCATGAATGAACAAATAAAATAAACATGCTCAGATGTGATTTCAATAAGCAAGTTTCTAAATGAAATTTGTCATGGTAACGAAATGTTTCATCGTGAGAGTGTTCAGCATTCAATGTCTACGTTTCAATGTTTTGTTGAGAAGATCTTCATGAGCGTTTAATAACAAATATATTTACATCACAGCAATACTATTCGTCAATACGTGTAATTGCTCAACGCGGCTTTGTTAGATTTTAAAAAAATGAGTGGATAAATTACGGATATTACAAAGCCTCATTGCGACGTTGATCTCTGGATAAGCTGTTTGCCTAGCTCANAATAACAAATATATTTACATCACAGCAATACTATTCGTCAATACGTGCAATTGCTCAACGCGGCTTTGTTAGATTTTTAAAAAATGAGTGGATAAATTACGGATATCACAAAGCCTCATTGCGACGTTGATCTCTGGATAAGCTGTTTGCCTAGCTCAAGTGATTCGTCTCTTTTATCATTCATATTCCCCGGAATATGTTGATTAGTTCATTGAAAGAAAGTAAGTAAAAGACAACGAAGAATGAATGCCCTGGTGTATAAATAAATAATGTGTGAATGTTGTTGTAATTAGAAGATGTTTCAATATTATGTGCCCGCCTTGGATAACATTTTACTCTATTCATCGTGGAGTTTAAGAAGCTTTCTGATTTATAAAATTAGAGAACTGCGCTTGGAACTTATTGTTTCATATTTATGGATGAGACACTTTTGCATGTTATTGTTTCAAGGTACCGGTACTCTCAGGTTTGCCCGGAAACATATGAATTTCTGTACACCATTCGACTCCTCAAAGCCTCTAGATTCAAAAAAACATATACCCTGTCGAGTAATTCTGCTTACTTGAGGAGATATAGCTGTTTTCCTGCAGCTATCTCAGCTAGCGCGGAGGCGCTCTTTCTTATGCATTTGATCACTAGAGATCAATGCACACAATACAATAGCGCTATAGGCGTCACGATCGTTAAGGTACCAGTACTCTCAGGTTTGCCCGGTAACATGTGAATTTCTTTGCAGCATTCGATTCCTCAGAACCTCTAGATTCAGAATATTATATATGTTGCTGAGCAATTCTACTTACTTGAGGAGATATAGCTGTTTTTCTAAAGCTATCTCAACTAGCGCAAAGGCGCTCATTCTTATACATTTGATCACTATAGATCAATGCATACATTACTAGAGCGCTATAGGGGCTACCATCTTCAAAGTACCGGTACTCTCAGGTTTGCCCGGTAAGATATGAATTTCTCTACACCATTCGATTGCTCAGAACCTCTAGATTCAGAATAGCATATATGTTGCTGAGCAATTCTGCTTACTTGAAGAGATATAGCTATTTTCTTGAAGCTACCTCAAAGCAATAGGGGTTACCATCTTCAAATCTTCCGNGGCACCACTCATTCAAAGCACTTCACCAGAGCTCTGAACTGTCGAAGACATTCCATCTGAGACTCTGCATGTGTTATACGGAAAATTTTCCAACTTTTTTCGAGATCCAGAAATTCAATACCATGTCAGAAGCAGGACCCCTTATCTGTTTATCATCTAAGTCCACAGCTGTATCCCTATTACCCAAATTTACGCATACATTACAAACTCGATATCACCCACAACTATTATTTATTGATGGTGTTATATCGTCCGGAATTTTACGCTATTCAAATCTCTCTACTGGAAAAATTTCTTTGATTCTAAACTTTTGAGCCATCTTCAAATCCGCTTTTTTGAAATGCCCTCGTATTACCTTTCCATTTGCCTGGTGCTCTGCATGAAGAACCGATAGATCATTTTCGATAATGATGGATGATAAAATTTTTATTCAATAATCACTTCAAATAAATCATTAAATCACATTAAAACATGGAAATAATCGTAACGAATAACATCAGAAAACAAAGCAGTAACAAAATGGCATCGTCTGATACAATAACACAACAAGAAGAATTAATCACGTTTGCATGAGTTCACCAAAACAAACTTCACTCTTAATAGTCAAATGAAGAATATCCTTGGTTGGATAAGATATCCCTCGAAATTGCTCTCAATGATCATTATAATCATCAAACTTCATTCAGCTGCTGTCAATCTGTCACTTTTGAACGAAATGAAATTCAAAAACAAAAAAAGCAATAAGCAAAAGGTATTACTTTCTATCACAACGAAAACGATTGCAGTTATAAATAAACTGAAACAAATAATAATGAATATAATATAAATTCCATAAAATACACAATTTTTCTGAATTTTGATTAAAGTGCTGAATCCCTGAGCGAAGGACAATGGAAAATAATGAAAAATAACAAAGAAACCAGGCCAATAAATCATTAATGTCACCTCAATAAAACAATGCAAACAACAAATAAATTTATTTTTCCCAAATATGAGATCCGCAAACTGAATATATGCCTCGAAGTAAGCACAAAAACACTTTACAGAACATTAGTAAATCAAAATGATGACAGAAATAATTTGAAATACAGACGGATTAGCATACTACTGAAATTGCAGACAAAATTCAGTTTATGCGCAATCGCACGTGCTATAAGACGTTATATCATAGTAAATGCGAATGCAAAGATGGCAGATATGAAAGCCATTGTCATTACACGACAATTACAATGAAATTATACCTAACGATGCTGTATCATACAAGATTACAATCCATANACGCTCAAAATTTCATCACCACAACGAAATCACACCTAACGAAATTGTATCATACAAGTTTGTAAGTATCATACAAAGAAATTTCAAATTCAAAATTTCAGAAACACAAAAAATTTCTAAAAGAAATACTGACACACATTGCATTAGTATGCTTGAGGTCGTTTCTTTGGTGATGAATTTGCTGATAAAATTCGTTTTGGGTAGTTTCCGCTTGTTGGTAGATTCTGGGCCGGGGCACAGCTAACTCCGGATGGTTGCCGGATATTACGCGCTGAGCCCATTAGAGTTCGAAGGCGCTGGCGTAGAGATGAGATGGTTTGCTGTTGAGGAGCTTGTTGTAGAACGGGATCCGGACCAATGATTGTTCCATCATCTTGTATTAGTGAACGCCTAAAATTGAAACATCAAAAATCACTACTTGATGAAAGAAAATACAAAGTTTGAGAGAAAGACAAAAAAAATCCTGACATAACACCTTTTGCAGAGAATTTTCAACTACTTTATGGAATAATTTCTTCTACGAATCTAAAGAATTGCATGAATCCCGGATTAGAAATGTGGATCACAATGAGTTCACACAATATCCGGCACCTAAAAGCTTCCAGATTCAACTTAAGAATCATGAAAAACCGGAAAAGCGTCCG